AGATCCTTACCCAATGAATACAAATTTATGAATAAAAAGTATAAAAAAGATGCCACAAATCCAGCTAATTTTTTATTAGTCAAGTTTGTTCTTTGTCCTAACAAACAAAATCTATTGTATCATGTAAAACACAAGTTTATTTTATAAATCCATGGCTTACAAAACCTTATATAATAGTTCAATTAATAACCCTAATGGACTTAAAACTTGTGGGCTGATATTAGACAACTTACAATAAATCCAAAGCATGTTAATTAAGTCTAAACATAAAGAAAATAATAAAAATAATAAATTTGACATATAAACTAAAGTTGTTGCATATAATCCAATGAAATATCCCAAGATAGATAAATAACATAATTTAAATAATGTCATGAACAAATTTTCATCTTAAAAACTCTAGAATCTTTGTTGCCACCTTTAAATATCCAAAATAAGATAAGAAATTGATTGCTAAAGTTGTCTCTCATTTAGTTTTCTTGTTTGTCTAGGATAATTAATTATATGATATATCAAAACCAACATTTGTGGAGGTATCATTTTCTCAAACTGTATTGAACTAACATTTTAAAGATAATGCAGATATTTAGCTCTTGTAATACAATTTGCATGACTATTAAGTATATGAATTTTTTTTTCTAAGATGGGGAGTATTAACTACCCTTTATGGTTTTCTAAATTTATTTTTAGCAATCAACAAAGATATTGAAAACAAAACCCATACAATTAAAGGAAAATTAGCACCGGGATATGGGAAATAAAGATCAATCATCTAGATATTATACAACATATGTAATCATTATTCAATGCACATGTAACACATGACATATATATTAAATCCATAACTCCATTTAAGTAAGGTCTAAAAATAATTTCTAGACATAAAAATGCAATATACTTATTTATAATGGATACTTTCTAAAAAAAAGAAATGTTAAATATTCTTGAAAGATGGAAAAAAATGGCTCATCATTACTTTTAAGGTTATCTAGCCCTAGCTTAACCAAGAAAAATCTTCAATGTAGTCATTCCTTATTTGTAACTCCACTAAATCTGTATTAATATTAAAATTCAACATTTGGTACTTAAATTAACAAAATTCAACACTTAAACTCTTAATTAACATAATTAAGTAAATTATCTTATGAAAAGAAGCTAAAAGAAAGTCTATATAACTAGACAAAACTCTTTTGTCAATTAAAATATGACACCATATGAACAGATGAAAACACTTACTTTTCTTTCTTAAGATTTAAAATCTGAAGAGATCTTAGTATGTATCCCATTAATATAAAGATTTAGAAACTCATAACTAAGATTGATATAATCCCAAACAATTAAAAATTAGATTTGAGATAGAATCTTGACCCACAGATAACACTGTATGAGATAACTAAAAATATTTGAATTGACTTGATCTTATTGATCATTAATAATCAGGAACCTAAAGTATAAAAAAATACAATAAAGCCAATTATACTTTGATAAATTTCATTATTTTTTATTTAAATAAAGAGAAAAACATGTTAATCTAAGCAAAATGCCAATTTCATTTGATAATTCATGGCTACCTAAATCTAATAGCAATAAACAACTTAAATAAACTTAACAAACAATCCATTAATAACCTTAATGGATTTTAGACCAATGGTCCAAAACAAAACCCAACTAAGACTAAAGTTCAAAATACATAATACCTTAAACAATGACTAATGGACTAAAAACTTATAGGCTAATGATTAGTACTTAAAAGTATATCTTTTTCAAGGTTTTAAATTATCATTTTGCACTTGAATTATCAATAACTCCTTAACTAAAGCATGTTTTATAATAACATATCTAATAATATAAGATACCTTTAATTTGTAGTAAATATTCATTTTAAGTGCAGGTTTATCATATGAATGAAATGATTGATTGATGAGTTTAAGAATTGAAATTGAAAGGACAAAGAGATAGCCAAACTTAGAAACTAGATGCTGGTACATTCCAAACAAGAACACTGTTCGGTAATTGGGTCATATCTGGAGCTGTAGATCTCGGATTTAGATCTACTTTATATGGATGGAAAGTTAAGACATAGGCCTATAACTTTCATGGAAGCGCAAGATTTAAAAAGTCTATTTTTAAGTTCAAATTGTAGCAACAATGAAAAAGTCCGAATTTATCCTGCAGCCTGAATACTGTTAAGTGTTGGGCCCATATCTAGAGTTCTAGAAGTTCAAATGACCTCAATTTTT